GGTGGCTCACTCCTGTAATTCTAGCACTCTGGGAGGCTGAGGTGGGAGGATTGCTTGAGCTCAGGAGTTTGAGACCAGCCTCAGCAAGAGCAAGATGCCATCTCTACTAAAAATAGAAAAATTAGTGGGATGTCATGGCACGCTTGTAGTCCCAGCTACTTGAGAGGCTGAGGCAGGAGGATTGCTTGAGCCCAGGAGTTCGAGGTTACTATGAGCTAGGCTAATGCCATAGCACTGTATTTAGGGCAACAAAGTGAGATACTATCTCAAAAAAAAAAAAAAATTCACCAATTAGGGATGAACTCCTTCTAAAAAGTCAAGGTAAATGTTTATTTCTTCCCCTTAATTACCAATATTAAGAGCAAGGAATTGATATAATAGTCACTTTCAATGATAGCAAAATATTTTATAGGTAAACTACAAATATAAACACAATAGGCTTACGGATTTTTATTTGTCCAATATGTAGTAATCGCCATTATTCTTAGTGATGTTCAAATTGTCTAATAAGAACTCCATTTCAACATATCCCATTCATTTCAACATATTCAACATATCTTTTTTTTTTTTTTTTTTTTTTGAGACATAGTCTCGCTTTGTTGCCCAGGCTAGAGTGAGTGCCGTGGCATCAGCCTAGCTCACAGCAACCTCAAACTCCTGGGCTCAGGCAATCCTCCTGTCTCAGCCTCCTGAGTAGCTGGGACTACAGGCATGCGCCACCATGCCCAGCTAATTTTTTCTATATATATTAGTTGGCCAATTAATTTCTTTCTATTTATAGTAGAGACGGGGTCTCGCTCTTGTTCAGGCTGGTTTCGAACTCCTGACCTCGAGCAATCAGCCCGCCTCAGCCTCCCAGAGTGCTAGGATTACAGGCGTGAGCCACCGCGCCTGGCCATATTCAACATATCTTAGACAATTTCCTTGCTTTCTAGAATAATAATGTGTCCCAGGATTATCTTTTACTCTTTGTCCTACATCCGATAAGGAGCTATTTATTTTAGTAGGAGGCATCATTGAAGACTATCAGTTTCCTAGGGCAGTGGTCTCCAACCTTTTTGGCACCAGGGACTAGTTTCATGGAAGAAAGTTTTTCCATAGACAGGAGCGGGGTATGAGGGGAATGGTTTGGGGATGATTCAAGCGCATTACTTTTATTGTGCAGTCAGACCTCTCTGCTAATGATAATTTGTATTTGCAGCCAATCCCCAGTGCTAGCATCGCTGCCTAAGGTCCACTTCAGATCATCAGGTGTTAGATTCTCATAAGGAACACACAACCTAGATCCCTCACATGCATAGTTTTCAGCAGGGTTCACGCTCCTATGAGAATCTAATGCTGCTGATGATCTAACAGGAGGTAGCACCTATGCAGTGATTTGAGCGATGGGGAGCTGCTACAAATACAGATGAAGCGACCCTTGCTTACCCTTCTACTCACCTCCTGCTGTGCAGCCCTGTTCCTAACAGGCCATAGACCGGTACCAGTCCATGGCCCTGGGGTTGGGGACCACAGTCCTAGAGTTGCTGTAATACTACAGACTGGGTAGCTTTAAACAGAAATTTATTCTCACAATTCTGGAGGCTAGAAGTCCAAAATCAAGGTGGTGACAGAACCAGCCACCCTCTGAAGGCTTTAGGAAAGAATCCTTCCTTGCCTCTTCTAGCTTCTGATGATGGCTAGCAATCCTTGATGTTCCTTGGCTTGTGGCAGCATGACTCCAATTTCTGCCTCTCTTTATGTGGCCTTTCTCCCTCTGTGTCTTCAAATCTCTCTCTCCTTATAAGGATACGAGTCACAGAATTTAGGTCCTCCCCTAATCCAGTATGACCTCATCTTAACTTGATTATATGTGCAAAGACCCTATCTTCAAATAAATTTACATTCACAAGTATGGGGGATTAAGACTTCCAACATATCTTTTGGGGAGATACAATGCAACCCATAACAGAGACCAAGATCTAGTTGTATTCATTGCAATTGGGTGCCTTTAAAGTGGGTGCAGTTTAGCCCCTTTGAATGAACAGAGCTGGGAAATAACATCTGAACAAAATTCATTAGTTCATTTTTTAATTTCTAAATCTAACCATTCTTTTTTGATTTTATATTTATATTTCTTTTAACTCACACTGAATGTCTTGCTTCTTAATAAAACTTTATCCTTAAGTATACATATGATTATCTTAAAATTACAGTACTGGTGTTACTACTAAAAAACTATAAAGTATGGAGTCCAAAGGTTAGTATTTCTCTGCAATTCCTTTTCTCTTTAGTATACAACCCAGTAAATGCATACACAGAGTTATGTGTTCAAAGTAATTTGAAATCATTTTTCTGTAGATTAGGTTACCAGTGTGATATAATTAGGCTCATTTGTTTCAATTTCTTTTTAATTTGGAGGTTTGCTTTTTTTCCTTTTCATTTTATTCTTAAAGTTGTGAAATGTATATGTATTAAATAATTCAAATGTCAAAACTATATAAAAAGATATACTTAGAAATTTTGCTTCGAACTCTAGCCCTTATGTCCTGTTAATTCCCTCTCTTCTTCTCACATCTGCCCCCGTAAGTTTCTGGTTTATCTTTGTGTTGTGTTCTTTGTGCAAAAATAAGCAAATGTGTGTATGTATACTTTAAATATTGTCTTCTTTCTTATACCAAGCATAGTATATACTCTGTTCTGTACCTTATAATTTTACTTAACATGCATCTAAATGTTTTAAATAAACTCTTATTTACTAGGAAATAACTAGGAAAATAGTAGGAAAAATACATAAAGTTATAATTATCGCCTACATTTAAAAATTATAGAAAAATCATATCCTATTACCAGGCTACTGGTATAGCCCTTCTTTGGTAAACAATACAACAGTCATTTTGTATACTTTATGTTAACTCTCCTTTGAATTGTTATTGTTTGACCTATCACAGACTCAAAATATTCTAATTAATCATAATTGTTATTTTCTTTTTAATGCTTTTTTTAAAGTCTAGCCAGTAGAAATCCCTTTTGCTAGCTTTCCTATTCCTTTAACACTACCCTCTGATGTCCTTGTAAACATCCTTGCTTTCTAGCAACAACAGGATGGTCCAGATTCATCCTAAAATTTTCTCAACACAAGACATGAAATCACCTACTCTCTGAGAATTTCTAGGCCCTTTTCATTGAGAATAGTATTCAAGATAATAATTTGGGCTCTTGAGAGTATTGAGAGGGCACTTCAGAGTTGTGGACAGAGTCTTGCTATTACTTCTGGGCCGTTTTTAAAGCTACTGGGAAAAGTATTTCTTTTTGAATACATCTGTATTGTTTTTTCTATTTTGAATTTCTATTTTACATTCCCTATAACTAAATTTTAACCCCAAATACAAACTCTAGTTATATCGTTTCCTTTCTGTAATTCTTTTCTTCCTCTGTTGTCATATGGTAGCCACCATATTATCACATAAGATATTTATATTTCTTTCATAATTTACCAACACATGCCCTTTGCCCATTTTTCTTTTGGGGTGTTTATATTTTTCTCATTGCTTAAAAAGACCTTTATGTATTAAAGATATTATCCTTTTCATAAAAGGTAAAAAAAAAAAAAAAGTAAGCTCTTTAAATATATTTTATGTTAATATCTTTCTCTTTCTCCTCAACTCAAGATTATCAGTTCATAAACCTCTTTTCATTACAGTTGACCCTTGAACAACACAGATTTGAACTGCACAGTCTACTTATATGCAGATTTTTTTCGGTAAATGTATTGGAAAATTTTTTGGAGAATTTGAAAAAACTTACAGATGAATTACATAGCCTAGAAGTGTCAAAAAAATTAAGAAAAAGTTAGGTATGTCATGAATATATAAAATATATAGATGCTAGTCTATTTATGTTGTTGGTAAGGCTTCCAGTCAACAGTAGGCTATTATTGATTAAGTTTTGGAGGAGTCAAAAGTTATATGTGAGTTTTCAACTGTACAGGGGGTTGTTGACCCTAATCAGTACTCCTATTGTTTAAGGGTCAGATGTACTTTTAGAGTCACAGGTCACCTTTCACCACAAACAAATATACTTGTTTTTCTTTTGTATATAACTCTAACTAGTAAATTGTCCTTATGAAGAGGTATAATAAAGCTGTGAGTCTTACACAAATGGTCTTCCTAAGACAAGCCCTTTTCATAAACCAAAAATTAAACTCTCATATTAGAGGGGTAAATAAGGGGAGTCATAGATTCAGCTACCTGCCCAGACAAACCATGTGGTGTTTCCCAAGGGCTGTCCAAAAGAAATTCTGGTCTTTAAAAGCTGCAACACCTTCCATTTATATGTCTAAGAATAGATCTGTTATGCTCTACTTAAACTTGTGATCAAAGACTGACACCATTGCTCACACCTGTAAACCTAGTACTCTGAGAGGCCGAAGTGGAAGGACCACTTGAGCTCAGGAGTTCAAGACCAGCGTGAGCAAGAGTTAGACTCCATCTCTACAAAAATAGAAAAATTAGCCAGGCATGGTGATGCATGTTTGTAGTCCCAGCTACTCGGGAGGCTGAGGCAAGAGGATTGTTTGAGCATAGGAGTTGCAGTGAGCTATGATGATGCCAGGGTAACACAGTGAGACTCTGTCTGATAAAAAGAAAAAAGATTATTATTAGAGTTAGAAATAGTATCTAACTCAGAGTCTTGTACGTAGCAGATGCTCAGGAAATGGTAGCTGCTTTTATTAACTGTACTTTGTCATTTTTTGCCATCATAAGCACCTTTAGCCCACTTTTTATCTCTGCTTCTCTGCAGGCCACACACCTAATATTTGTTTCCTACTAGCTTTTTCTTTTCTTACAAATAAGCCTCTTTCCTGATTATATTTTATATTCTTGAACATAGTATTAATAATATTTTCATTATTGGAAATTCATAGATGATGCATGCAAAGAAAGGTTGAACTCAGTTAATGAATGGTCTAAGGCCACTGGAATAGAGAAGCTAATAAATTCCTTCTCCCGTCTCTACAGACCCACCACCACTGCTCTTTGAGGTGTCATCTCTGGAGAATGCTTTTCAGATTGGAGGCCATCCTTGGCACTACATCATCACACCTAATAAGAAGAAACAAAAAGGGGTTTTCCATATTTGTGCCCTAAAAGACAACTCCTTGGTAAATCATGAGGGATCAGACTTTTTCATAGTAAATTTGTATCAAAAATTCTTTATTCTCTACCTCTCTAATAGATCCACATTCCTATGATACTTTTTTATTCATGTGTTTTAATAATTTGTGAACAATTTAAAATATAGAAGAATACAGAGAATATAGCAAACACTTGTGTATATTACCCATAATTTTAAATGTTAACATTTGAAAATTTTTAAGAGTACCAAGAATATTTTAGGATTTTTTTTCCTCCCACCAAGGGGTCTCAAGCGCCACAGGAGGAATCATTGATGGAATATGTGCAGGCTACCTCTGAAATTTCTGGTGGAATGTATTGTTTGTTCTGCTTTTACATGATTTGTTGCTATTTGCCTTCTAGAGCAGAACCAAGTAGAACTCTGGTGGTCACAGGGTAAGCATTGAAACACTTTGAATTTTAAAGGGTATTCTTAAGTTATTTATGGCAGAATAGGAAGAAATGGTACAAGGTAAAATAGAAAAATAGAAATTTCTATCTATTGAATTCGTTTTTCTTAATTTTTTTTTGTAAGTAATTTAAGCATCAGTTTGTCATTTAATAAACATTTATTGAGGGCCCACCAAATGTCAGACATGGCTGGGGACACATTCCCTTCCCTCAAGTTGCTTATTCTCTCCAAAGAAGGTAAACACATAGAAAAAGAAGATGCAGTGTATTAAATACAGTGATTGTAGTTGTGGAAAAAGTGAGTCTACAGAGGAAGAGAATTCTTTTTTTTTTTTTTTTTGGTATGGCTGATTAGTTTTGTTATGCAGCCTCTGTCAGGCGGACTTGCTGTTTTTGAGGTAGGTTCAGCTTATTCCACACCCATCTCTTCCAGGTCCTTTCTCAGTCACTGTTGGCTCCAGTGGCTTTTAGAGTCACAGGTCACCTTTCCCCACACTGAAGATTAGCAGTCTTGGGTCTGTTATTTCCCTTGATGTCATGGCCACCAGGGGGCAATGTATATAGTGTCCAGTTTTCTTTTGTAGGAGCATTGTTGCTTTCCATTTTCTCATTTACTTGTCACATGTGGCAGCTTCTATTTGGCCCAGCTCAGTGACATTCTCTTTGTTGATTTATTCATGTTATTATTATTATTTTTTAAGAGACTGGGTCTCACTCTATTGCCCAGGCTGAAGTGTAGTCGTCCGATCATGGCTTAGTATAGCCTCGAAATCCTGGTCTTAAGCAATCCTCCCACCTCAGCCTCCCAAGTAGCTGGGACTACAGGCATGTGCCTTCCTTATCTGTAAATAATGCCCCTCCAACATTCTCTTTGACAAAGGATTCTCTAGGATCTGTTTCCTGTTGTGACAAGTCTTGGTTTGATTGTTTACCTCTCAGCCAGTGGATATCTTTAAGCCACTAGACCTGTCACATTTCTTTTTCACTTAGCTTTGCATCTAGTCAAACCTTGCACAGTTCATATTCTGGACAGTTAGCACATATTCTTCTTATATGAGAACTAATAATTTATATTCTTTCATATACATACACACATACACACACAGAGTCAACCCTCTATATCAGGTGTCCTCAAACTATGGCCTGCGGGCCACATGCCACCCGCCTAGGACATTTATCTGGCTGGCTGGATGTTTTTGCCGCAGCTGCCTGTCCTGCTTAGCAGCCGACTCATCCCAGGCCCACAGTGTGCACTCTCCAACGGTCTGAGGGAAAGTGAACTGGCTCCCTGTTTAAAAAGTTTGAGGATCCCTGCTCTATATCCACAAGTTCCACATCCATGGATGCAACCAACCTCAGACCAAAAATATTTAGAAACAAAAACAGATGGTTGTATCTGTACTGAACATGTACAGATTCTTTTTTTCTTGTCCTTATCCCCAAAATAGTACAGTATAACAATTTACATAACATTTACATTGTATTAGCTATTACAAGCAACCTAGAGATGTATACTTAAAGTATACGGGAGGATGTGCATAGGTTGTATGCAAATATTACACCATTTTATATCAGAGACTAGAGCATCCATGGATTTTGGTATCTGTGCGGGGTCCTGGAACCAATCCTCCACAGATACCAACGGATGAGTATATATGTAAATAATGGCCTTTAACATCGATATCAAGCATGCCTGTTACATACTCTTCTTCTATAGTAGCTAGGTATAACATTTAGTCAAATATGTATTTCAACAAATTCATAAATAATTGCCAAATCCAGGGGAAGTTGTCAGTCCTTTTTCTGGACAGTTTTATTGTGGTGACATTGCCTTAATGATGTATATGCCCATAACTTCCTCACCTGTCAGAAGAATGGATAACCCAAAAACACAAAAGCAGCCAAACTTAAGATTTCAGAAAATATTTCATGGCTTTCTTTTCTTTTCTTTTCTTTTTTTTTAACAGGGTCTCACTCTATTGCTCAGGCTAGGATGCAGTGGCATCTGCAACTTCTAACTCCTGGGCTTGAGTGCTCCTTCTGCCTCAGCCTCCCAAGTAGCTGGGACTACAGGCATGTACCACAATGGCCTGCTAATTTTTTAATTTTTTGTAGGGATGGGGGTCTTGCTGTGTTGCCCAGTCTGGTCTTAAACTGGCCTCAAGTGATCTTCCCACCTCAGCCTCCCAAAGTGCTGAGATTACAGGCATGAGCTGCTATACCCAGCCTCATGGCTTTCTGTATTAAACTGAGCTTTAATATCTAGCATTTGAGCAAATGATAAAAACTGTAGGAACTGGTAATAAAACTGCCTAGTATTAACATAAAGAGATAATATATTGTGTGTGTTATATTTAGATATAATGAAGAGAACAGTCTCCTGAAGAAACATATGTATAGTATGTGAATGTATTTTTGTTTGTTTGTTTGTTTTTTGAGACAGAGTCTCGCTCTGTTGCCTGGGTTAGAGTGCCGTGGCATCAGCCTAGCTCACAGCAACCTCAAACTCCTGGACTCAAGTGATCCTCCTGCCTTAGCCTCCCAAGTAGCTGGGACTACAGGCATGCACCACCATGCCCGGCTAATTTTTTTTTTCTGTATATTTTTAGTTGTCCAGCTAATTTCTTTCTATTTTTAGTAGAGACAGGGTCTCACTCTTGCTCAGGCTAGTCTCGAACTGCTGAGCTCAAACAATCTGCCTGCCTTGGCCTCCCACAGTGCTAGGATTATAGGCGTGAACCACCACGCCCGACCTGCGTGTTTTTTATTAAACAAAGGAGTAGCTGGAGCTAATACCATCATGGACACATTCATTTCAATGGTTACAACCAAGATGTTTAATTGTATTGATTTTCTTATATGTAAAATGTAATACCACCATTCCTATTAGAAATAGGTTACATAAAAGTTCTTGAAGAATTGAAACTCATTCACTAATTCAATACATAAAATGTATTAAATTCCAAAATATTTTAGATTGTGGTGTGCAGAGCACTTAATGATGTAGAACCAGCCTACCTCTCCGGCCTCATGGCTGGACACTGTACTTCTCAATTTGATTTTATCTGCTACTCGTGTTTATATACATACATGCTATTTGGATTAACATTTCCGTGCTTCTGATTTTGTCATCTCTTCTTCCTGGCTGTTTTCTACTTATCCTGTAAGGCTCAGTTCAAGCTGTTTTCCCTCCCAAAATTCTGCTCACTTCAATTGGGTGCTTGATAATATCCTGCGCATGGCTCAATCACTTCATTTTCTACACTGCCATATTATTCTGTTTATCTTTCTGCCTCCCCCACACTATAAGATTCTTGATGGCAAAGATTATGTTTAATTCACATCAGGTATGAATGCCTAGTGTGATACCTAGAACATAGTAGCTTGTCAATATATGCTAACAAAATTGAAAAGCCTTAATATTGCAAAACTTTTGTGAATATCTAATAGGAAAGATGATATCATTTCATTTTACACTGGAGAAATGAAAGAAATTAAATGGCTTGGATAAAGCCAGTGAAGTTAATGTATCCAAGTGGGTGCTAGTTCACGGTGCCTCTGTGTATAAGGTAAAACATTTGTGTACATGTGTGATCACATATCATAGTTTTATTCATTTTAATGTCTAAATATACTATAGTGAGATCTCTGTTTTTGCCTTAAATGCTAAGTAATATTAGACCATTAGACATTAGAGTTTAACATTTGACTTAACCAAGGAGATTATGTGACCCATGTCTGACACTGTAGGTTTGGTTACATGTTTATTTTTCTGTTTCTAGCTCTTCTAATTGACAGGTTGCTGGGGATGGGGTAGGGAGGAAGAAATTATGGGGAGCTACATGTTTATAATTGTGGCAGAGTTGTGTAATGAAAAGTCCACGGACTTAGGATTCAGATCTGCTGTTTAGTAGGTTCAAAGCATTGGGCAAATGATTTATTTTCTTTGTGCGTTATTAATAGTATCCTTATCTGTGAAATGCAGATAAGATTATGACTTGCTTTGAGTGATATTAAGATCACATGAAATAGTGACTGTAAAGCATTTGTTGCAGTTCTTGACACAAAGTAGATGCTTGAGATATGATAACTGTTGTGTTGTTATTGTTTGTGAAGTACAATGTCTGGTACAAAGTAAATCCATGAAATTTCTGAATTTAAATGTTCTAAAAATTTGAATATCCTCATTCAGCCCTCACATACATCCTAGTTCAACTGGTTAATATTTTCTTCCTTTTTTGTTTGACTTAATGATCTATCCCTGTGTTAGATTTTAAAAATTACTTCATTTTCCTTTAATCTTTGTCTTCAATTTTTTTTTTCAACTTCAGGCAAAAAATGGGATACAAGAAATGGAGTGTTGTTCTCTAGAATCTGACTGGATCTATTTCCATCCTGATGCTTCTGGTAGAATAATACATGTTGGCCCAAATCAAGTCAAGTGAGTAATCTCATTAGCACTTTAAAGTTAAAGGTAGCTTTTGTTTGCATTTGTTGGCATCTTTATTTTTGCCACATAACTATTGAGCCAGTTATGGAAATAATAAGCTTGTTATAAGGTGCTTCCTCAGAGACTGGCAACTAGAAAACCTGATTTTATTAATATTTTTTCAGCTTCATCATTACTGTTTATAAATAGTACATTTGAATACGTTCTTTGGTGGTTGATACGTAAGTGAAAGGGAATTACAGACTGGCCATTCCTTAACAGGTCTTAATTCTATAGGATTAATAAAAAAGAAGATGATTTGTCTTTGTTCTGAAAGACAGCTTTGACAGTAAAATGGTAGTGGATTGTTTGAAATAAACCTTGTTTAACTTTGTTTGCTTTCAGAGCACTCACATCTCCTACAAGTTAACCTCTCCTTTCTTGAAACACTCATTTGGCTTCCCTAACACAACAGTTCTGAATATTTTCCTACCTCTCTCAACTATCTCTTTTAGCATCCTTTCATGCTCTTCCTCCTCTACCCAGAGTTTAATTGTTGGATATCCATAGGACTTAGGCCCTCTTCTCTTCTCACTCAGCATTCCCTTTCTTTATGATTCTATTTATTCCCTTGACTTCAAAAATCGTGTATACCTCACTTAGTAGAATGGGTTCCAGCTGAGATAAAAAAAATAAAAGGGCCAACAAACTAAAAAAAAAAAAAATCATGTATACACCAAAACTCTAAAATTTATATATTAGCCCAAACCTCTCATCTAAGATCATGCCAGAAATCCAAAATCATTCTTGACACTTTCTTATCACCTTGTCTTTCATCAGTATATATACATTTAAACACTCACATGCATTCTCTTTTTCTGTCTGTCTCATACCCACGTATACACTAAATCTACCTATTCCTGCCCTTGGCCACTGTTATCACTGACTGACTATAGTAATAGCCTACTTTCAGGGCTTCCAGAATCTACTATGATACTCTGTTTTCTTCTCAGCAGCTAGAATGATTCTTAAAAACATGAACAAATACAAGAACCTAAGTAAGTGAATTCTGCTTCAACCTTTTTATGGCTTTTCATTGCTCTTAGGGTAAAGACCAACACAGTCAGCATGGTCTGAAAGACCCTCCTCCCACTCAGTTAACTTTAGCCATACTGTCTTTTCAGAAAGCTGAGGACTTATTCCTTCTGTTAGGAGTCTGTTTCCCCTACCTATTCTTCTGCCTAATTTTTATTCATAATTTATGGCCCAGCTTAAATGTCACTTTTCCACAGAGACCTTCCCTCATACCTCTTGTTAAATTTGCTTGCCCATTGTATTTTTATTGTACTCACTGTGTAATCTGTCCCCTATAGTGCTTAGAACAGTTTTAAGTCTGTTTTGCTGACACCTATAATCACAGCACTGAGTAGATGCTCAGTAAGTACTTATTGAATAAGAAGGGAAGCATCTGCCTTCTTTATTCCTTAATATACTTCATGATCAAGAGTCTACCTCTCTGGATCTATTATGAAGGAGGATAAAAGCATTTAGTGAAATAAGATTAACTTTTACAAAACATCTTAAACTATGATTCAGCTTCAGTAAGCCTTACTTTTAATGTTTATTACCACCTATCTTTTTAATCTTTGTTACCACCCATATTAGTTTGAATTTAAGAAAATAAGGCACACAAGAGTGGGTACCCTTTTGCCAGGTTTTAAAAGATAGGCATTTTTAAATATTGACACTAGTTAAGATAATGTATTAAGTAATTTAAAATATTATCTGATTTCTTTGTTTCTGGTAACTCTGAAGTCTCTAGCTCCCCCTGGTAACAGTAGCTGCTTCTCTCTGCTGTTCTCTTTTCCTGCATTTGAGACTTTGAGCTTAGAAAACATTGTGCTTTTGAAGCTTGTTAATAATGTGAACAAATTTGTGTGGGTGGTGAGCAAATTATTTTATTTTCTCTTCCTTAACATGCTTGATCCATTTGTACTCAGAAAACCGAAATCATTAAATATGGCTAATCCCAGGAAAAAAGTATAGTCACTTGCAGTTTTTAAATGTTACTCTATCATGAAAACTCTCTTAGTTTAGATTTAGTTGCTGATCCACTCTCATAGTTAACTCTAAGTGTTGTTCATAAATATCTCATTCTATTTTTGGAAATAAAAATGCAAATATCTGTTATAATGCCGTTGTGAAAGCTGAAATGTTAAAGACCTGTTGTAGGGTCTTCAGAGTAACTTATATTAAGATGAGGTTCTTCAGAGTAACTTATATTAAGCCGGTGTAGAAGATGGCTTAGGCCTGAGCAAACTATTTCATTACCTACTTCAGTTGCACCTCTTGTCACAGTTACTACGTTTTTTTCTGTTTAACAAAATCTCTGAATTTGAAGGAGTTTATGGACTTTTAGTGATCATACATTAGGATTGCAGACTAATCAGGAAGAGAAGAGAACTAACTCAATGTTGTTAATATAATTTTTATTTGTTTAGTTTCATTTCAGTAGTTCAACTTTGGCACTCTGATAGTGTTTTGAAGTCTTAGTTCTCAAAATCCTTTATTCCTTTTTAGAGTTTTAAAGCTAACTGAAATAGAAAATAATAGTTCTCAGCATCAGATCTCTGAAGATTTTGTTATTTTGGCCAACAGGGAGAACAAAGTAAGTCTGGAGTACTTTAAAATCCTTTGTATATCACTGTTTTTCTATGTGACAATATAACATGCAGATGTATTTGCCTTTGAATGTGGCTGAAAACATTTTACTATACCTTTTCTATGTAAAAAATTTTTAAATTAAATTTTAAAAAATAAATATGGCTGAAAACAACAGCACAACCCTATAAAAGTCTGTGCATTTCATCTACGTGAGTAGCCAGGGTTAGCCCTGTGTACATGAGATTTGAAGACAGTTGATTATGTTGAATTTATCTTATTATTATTTCTCTTTCAAGTTTTTATTGATGAATTATCAACCTTTGGGTCTAATTAATTATATAAACTTATAGTTAGTTGGGGTGTATATATATATATATATATATATGTTTTTAAAAATCACATACCATATTTTAAGTCCATATGGTACTTTTCCTTTAGTGTATATATTAAGAACACAAAGAAAATGATGGGGAGGGAAATTTCTAAAATTTGCTGTACTAAGGTAACAGTCAGAAGGGTAAAGCAGCCCCGAATCTATAACCTTTTAATTAATTAATTAATTTTTTACCTATTCTGATATTTCATTCATTAAAGACTTTATTAAAGTATTTTTGCTAATTGGAGGATGAGAAATCTCCTCAGGATTCAGGATTTTCTCAGTTGAGGAAAGAATTGTGGATGCTGGAGAAGGGTTGGTTAGTTTTGTTTTACAAAATTTGTTAATATAATTTTACCTTTGACTGCATATAAGAGGACTTGTCATATCTTTTTATTTCTCTCCCTATGGTAGAATGAAAATTTATTCACTGTTACAGCTTCTGGACGGGTGGTAAAAAAAAATTTTCACCTTCTGGATGACGACCCAGAACAAGAGGTATGAGCTAACAAACCAAATCAGTGTGTACTTACATTGTGAGTTGCAAATTAATGCTTCCCAGAGCCTGAGGTAGAGATTGGTGTTGAGGAGTTCCCTACAGGCTGAGTGAATAGGATTGTGTGTGCTATTTCAACACAGCAGCCCCACTATCCTCTCTTTTCATATTGGAATTATTCATAAAATTTTGTTTGCAGAAAGGTTCATAGGACTAAAATAATTTGAAAACACTATTAGCTTATTGTTTTGTTTTGCTGAAGTATATACTTTCTAGGGAAATCTCTTATTAGAAAATTCTTGGGTTATATCCTAATGCATTTATGGTTTTTGCCTTTTTTTTTTTTTATTTACTAGACATGGATATGTTAATGTTCATGGGCCAGAGGAGGAGGGTGTGAGGAGGGAGTCCTCAACAAAGCAGAAAGTTCCCTACTTTGTATATAAAACTATATTCAAGAAAGATGTACTAAAATTACCAACAGATAGCATGAATAATTAAGAGGGAAGAGGAGGTAGCAAAGAGAGATGCTCAATATCATGAGATTAAAAAGCAAAATCTTTTAGCCTATAAAGGAAAAGTTGAAAGGAGTTGTACCTTAAATCAATAAAATCACTGATACCCAAGCAAAAAGTCACCCTTTGAAATTTGACCATGGTAAGATGAAGGCAAAAAAGTAAATAAAAAGGAACCACAGGTAATAAAAATGATAAAGGCAGAAAATGTCAATGGATTAAAGAGCAGTTTGACCAAACATAAATGAAAGGATTAGTACGTGGTGATTAAGAGAAACTTGCTGTGCCTGTCTTTAAAGTTGATGCCAGGCATTCAGCCAATATGTGCTTTCCTATGGTCCATCCCTGGATGGCTGAGCACTAATCTGCTTCCCATGAGGTTTTTGGAGTCCCAGGTTTTCTTCCTTGAGGCAGAGTTCTGTGGTTTTTCTCTTTATCATAGCTAACCTCTCTTGACTCAGTCCTATTCAGTGGGTTGGATTTTAGTTTCTCGTACACTCCCTCAAGTATAAACAGCCTTTTTTGCTTTCTTTAGGGAACCAAAAAGGGTTTATTAAAAAAGAAAAAAGATGGAAAATAAGGTATAAATAGTATATGATAGGCTATCCCTTCTTGAAATGACTTGTTGGTTTTTAGGGGATTTTTTTTGGTTTTGATTTTTGAATTTTTTTTGGTGTGAGAACTTTCAGAGCTCAGTGAACAGTCTTCAGGTTTCAGAACTGAGCTTCATATACTAATATTTAGTCTGTCTAATCCAGGAAACAGCAAACACACATGTCAGAGGCAGCAGCTAAATACTTTTTTTTAATTTGGAGAAGCTCTTGTTTGCTATCATAGAGAATTCCGTTATACTTTACCTGAGATCTACATAGACTTGGTTTTGTTTGCCAAAATCTGTAGGATAGAGCTTAGCTGTTGAAATCTTGGGACTGATGTTCTACTAGACATATAAGTAGAGACATATTTCTACCTATTATCCCACTCATTCATTCTTCTTTCTCCTGTATTTCTGTAAGTAATAGAGTAGTTAAACTACAAATGTAGGAATAATCCTAACTGAGTAACTGGAATTTGCCCCTCTTTCCTTCCATTTCATCCATCTATCCCCTAGACTTTCAAAATTGTGGACTATGAAGATGAGTTGGATTTGCTTTCTGTTGTAGCTGTTACTCAGATAGATGCTGAAGGCAAAGCTCACTTGGATTTCCACTGTAATGAATATGGAACCTTACTTAAAAGCATTCCACTAGTGGAGTCATGGGATGTGGTAAGTAGAGTCCATGGAATACAAACTTGTGAGAGTTTTCTTTATAGGTGTCATTTATTAGAACAGATGTTACTGTGTTCATGTCAGTCCAGATTTCACGTATGCCAACGGCCACATGCGTTTATTGTCCTATACACAGGATGAAATGAGTGTTTCTTAAGCCTTCCTCCTCTCGAGTACTTCTTAAGCCTTCCTCCTCTTGGCATTAGGGGGATACCTCTTTACCAGTGGTCTTAAAGATAAAAGTTTATGTGTTTTCCTGCTGTTTCCTTACTCTGGTCTTTGATTTTCTCCCAAGTTTGGTAAAATTAAAAAAAAAAAATAAAAGTATACTATAATAAATTTCCATATTATTTAATAGAGATCATATCTAGTCATGTAGAGTTCCATGTACTCTTGGAACCATTTGTCTGATCTTTTAACTATTATAGCATATAAAAGTTATAAGGAACAAGTAGATATTATTTTATCCAGGCTTCATTTAATCAACAGAAAACTTGAGAGGTTTAGCAACTCAGACATGGTCACACAATGAGATAGATAGTAGCAGTGTTGGCAATAAGATCTGGGTATTTAGACTATTAGATCTAGCGTTCTTTTCATTCTCTATATTCTATAGAGTGTTTTTTCATTAATAATCTGTATATCTATAAATAATGAAAAATAAACCTATTTCTGGCAACTATTTTGCCTCTAAGTGTATGTCTGAAGATCCCTAGCATAAGTGCTGTGGCATTTTAGTGACGCAGTAGTGAATATGGTTATTTGCAAAAGAGATTCCATATGATTGTATTTTTGTTACAGACATACAGCCATGAAGTCTACTTTGATAGAGACTTGGTGCTACACATAGAACAGAAACCCAACAGGGTCTTCAGCTGCTATGTTTACCAGATGGTATGTGACACTGGGGAAGAAGAAGAAACCATAAACAGAAGTCATTAAAATGAGTGAAATAATGTTAACTTAAGAGACTTTTAGCCAAACACTGTCTCCAATCCTCCTCTGTACTATCTGCATGGCATAGTCTCCAGTATTTTCCAGGAAAGGTCTTGTGTTTACTTTAGAATTTTTAAACTCTTGCTGTAGAAGGTTGTGAGGACTTCATTTTATGTAATGACTTTTTAGAATGCTGTCCCAAAAAGTCTACTGTTTTGGAGCTTTTAGCTAGGTGGTAATGTAAATATAAAATGCTAGGGAACAAAAAAGGACAGATTAATTTCAGTTGTTGAGGAGAGGGTCATTGATAGGAAGGTATTTAACATGGTTCTTAAAGGACAGTATGGAATTTTAATTGGTAAGGATAGGAGAGAGATAAAAATAAAGATACTAAAGATATAGAAAGAAATCCTATATCCTCTATACCAAACTTTGCTTAAGGATTAGAAATGAGATGTGTAATGTGAAAGCATACTTTTCAGCCAAAAACATGTAATCACAGTTTTATTTAAAAAAATCTTATATATATATGTATATATATGTTTTGTATTTGTGTGTAGTATCAGGAACTGGTCCTAGTTCACAAACTATCTTTTCTTCCATGGCCTTATTCTCTTGGCTTGATGTTCCCATTGAATATTTGTGTTTCAATTATAGACTAATATAAAAGATTCCAGGCAAACCTTAAATGAAACTTTTTGTGATATGTATCCTGCTTAGCTCCTAATATATCTAAAGATGTTCTTATTTCACCATTCAATTTATTAAGTCAATCTTCCAATTTTTTTAGGCAATATTTTCATACCTATGCAGTAAGATAAAGGTACCCTTGCCTGTACCAGTTCTATTCCTTGAGGAAGAGTAAAGTCTCAGGAGGAGTTCATATTGGCTTGGGAGTTACCTGATTAGCTGGAAAGAAATTTTGGCTATCTTAGTTATGAAATGAATATTTTTGTTTTCTTTTTTGTTAGAAAAGATCTAAATATCCTTGAACTTCAATAATCATTCTTCAGAATGTTAAATAAAGTCAACCTAAGTAAAGGGAGAAAGTGTTTCTTTATGCTTCCTGTTTGAGAAATGCATTTACTTGCATTCAGTGCCCATGTTCAGCACATTTCTCTGATTCAACCTCAAAAGAATAACTAGTAAAAAAAAAAAAAAAAAGAAAGAAAAAAGAAAGGAAACAGCAGTAAAAATAATGGCTGATTCAAGTTTAAGGTTAAAATACAGAATTTTAGCTTGAATGATTTACATTAAAATCCTTCAGTTTTTCCTTCAGTTTTGGCTTGATCCCATGTTAAGAATAATGTAGATTCGGCCCTTGAAAATTTGCAAATACATTTTACATCTGAGGTATTAGTTATTCCGAAAGTCAAGGAATTAGTAGCAGGATGTGTAAATTTAAAAGAAATAAAGGGAACAAACCTAAAACTGTTTTGTGCAATAGAAAAGATTGTTAACATTTTAGAATAAAGGAAAATATTTTTGTATGGGCTAAAAATAAATCTTTCTGAATTTGATCCTGTGTATAATAACCATCTGGGAAAGTAGAAGTGATTACTTTGTGAGTAAGATGAAAAAATTATCTCCCTATACTAGATTCTAATACTTTTATATCTATTAATGGAAAAATCCATCTTCACTTATGCATATTTAATAGTGCTATTTAATATAACATCTGAGGCCTTCAGAGCATTTTAGAGATACAATTGTGATTACAGATCTGTTAAATAGTTGCAGTGTGCTAGCTATTGCCCCAAACTTTCAATTAGACCCAAACTTTCAATTAGACACTAGCTATATCTAAACAGTCCTGCCCAATAAATTTACATCTTGAAAAAAACAAGATCAGTAAGAGTAGAGTAAAAATACCAGAGAAAAGAAGGAAACCAATGTTGTGTGGGCTTCAAAGTAGGTGCAGAGCTGTGTAAAAGCAGAATGTTTAGTCTCCATTTCTGAGAGTATTTCAGAATAGGGTATTTAGACTTCAGCCCTGTCAGAGATTTTTTTTTAAGTTGGTTATTGAGTTTCTCCTTTCCTTTAAGTCATCTCCTTCTTTGGATGAAATGATAGAAATTTATCTCTTCAGATAAGCATTTGAGAAATATCTGATCTTCTTGACTGCTTGTTTGGTGTTGGGAACAGGTGTAGAAGTATCTAGTCTATATATGAACTGACCACTAAGAAACTCCCAATGTGTTACAGCTGCCAAACATGGTCTAAATGCCATATGGGCCAGAAAGGAAAGACAGTAGGGAGTTGTGGGCAGTGTAACAAACAAGAGCTACGCCCCAACTAAATGGATAAACTGTTACAGCTTAGTTTCAGCCAAAAGTGACAGTGTGTGTGAATGTGGGCTACATGACTATTAATAAGATGGTTGATAAAAAGATACTAAAAGATGTGGAAGATAGCAAAGAATGTGGGAAATTTGGATACCACACATGGCAGGAGACAATGCAACATGCTTTCCCAAAAGGTATGGCCTTCCCAGCTCCCCACAGTGTTGTGACACAGCTGCTCATTTTGCCACCTGCCAGACATTCTTGCCATTCTCCTAGGGATGGAGGGAAGTGGTGCTTAATATCCTCCTGCCTACCTTAAACCCCCTCTTCACCTGACTGTTTTAGAGACTCTACCTATGTGCCCACATACTTGACAGGTACTAGTGACAGGTACGAAACATTTCTGAGTGTTTAAGCCCAGGTGAAACAGGTTATCTTCTCTCAGCAAGCATAGGCATTAAGCTGAAAAGAGGTGCATTTCTGCATTGGACTCCTTAATCTAAGTTTCTATATTCTCACAGTATCAGTGCAGCAAGCTTACTGTTCTTTGACTTTCTACAATATTTATCTCAACTCTGGGAGAAAACAAAACAAATCCTATCACATTTCCTGTTTGAACTGCCTAGTAAGGAGAGGATATTGTTCTATTTAAACATAAGGCGCTCTGCATTCTTCTGCTAATTGAATGAGAGCTTTTCCCCATTATTTTATGATGAAAATTCTCAAACATATAGTAAAATTGAAAGAATTTTTTTCCTAATACTTCAGCTGCATATCACTAACTACAGTTTAATATTTAGTTTTTAAATTTTTTGATTTAATATTTACATGCAATGAAAATCACGAATCTTAAGTATAAATTTGCTGAGCCTTTGTAGAAACTCTTTAAAATTTGGAACATTGCAATCATCCTATAAAGTTTCCTAATTCCACTTCCCAGTCTATCCCCTCCCCACCCCTCAGGTATGACTACTATTCTGATTCTTTTATATCACAAGTTAAATTTGCCTATTCTAAAACTACATATAAGTAAAATGATACAGAGCATAATGCTTCTTTCACTCAGCATAATGTTTTTTGAGATTTATTTATGTTGTTGCATGGATTAGTGGTTCATTTCTTTTTATTGCTGAGTACTCTTTTGTGTGAATATGTCACAGTTTGTTTTTCCATTTTCCTTTTGATTGACACCTGGGCTCTTTCTGCTCTTTTTGGTTACTGTTATGAATAAAGCTGCTATGAACATTCTTATACAAATGTTTTGTGAATATATGTCTTTATTTCTCTTGGGTAAATATCAAGGGATGGAATTTGGGGGTCCTTGGGTAGATGTATGTTTAGTTTAATAAAATACTGCCAGACTTTTTTTCCAAAGGATTGTACCATTTTACATTCCTGCAACAATACATGAGACTTCCATTTGCTCTGTATTTTTTCCAGTATTTGTAGTCATTAGTCTTTTTTATCTTAACATTTATGGTGGATGCGTAATCATTTTTGGTTGATACTCAGATTGTTCCTACTTGTGCCTAGTAGCCCTCTTGTCAAGTCTATCTCTTTATCCTTTTTTAACAACTCCCCCTCCCTAGAAACTGCTGAAAACATTCTTTGTGATAATGGTTAAGATACCCCCAGACTCAGCTTGAGTTATTTTTTTTCTCCAACATGGAATACATTGCTCACCAAAGAACACTGATTCCTTTGATGGAGACTAACATTCCAGAACAAAATTGGGTTCTAAGGGCACATGTTTGACTGTTTTATGGGACTGTTGGAGCTGGGCAAAATGGCAGTAGAGAAGAGGCTATAGAAATCATTGTAATAAAGCAGATAATGACTTTTTCTTTAAAGGTTGTGGGCTCTTATTATTTCTAAGTCATATTTTTCTCTAAAATGAAAGCATGTTAAATAAGCTTTATCCTCTTCTCACTATAATATTCTAGGTTTCATATGTTTTGATATCAAATTATTGCAGAGCTGCTCAAAATTTTTAAAGTCTTTATTTATTTATTTATTTTTACTCATTTTGGTTCTCAAATCATGTGTCCTAGAATTTGTTCCAAAGTTTTCAGGTTCTGTTCATTTGCTCATTATCATTTGAGTACTATATAAGGGTACAGGGAGGAAAGGGGAAATGTCAGTCTTCTGTATAGGCACACTAAACAATACCATGCACAGGACACTAGGATCTCAGGTAGAATCCCATGAGATTATTAGGCAATAAAAATGAAAGGGAGGATTCAGATCAGCAAAAGCCTTTAAGACTTGTCTGATACGCTCCTTTAACTCTTTGTTTTCATGGAGACTAGTGTCATTCTTCATTAGAGGCAACATTGAACTTGAGTTTCATAAAGGATTTTGGATAAATACTAATTCATTTTCTCAGTATTACAATAACCAACTTTGCACGTACGATAAATCCAATAAAAGATGTCAGCAAATAAAATCAAATTATTTAGAATTATCAGAGATCTTTAAATTTTCTCAACAGAATTATTGAGGTATAATTGACATACAATAAACCGCACATATTTAAAGTGTACAATTTTGGAGCTAGGCATGCTAGCTCACTCCTCTAATCTCAGCACTTTGGGAGGCTGAGGCGGGAGGATTGCTTGAGGCCAGGAGTTTGAGACCAACCTGGACAAGACTTCATCTCTACAAATAAAATTTAAAAATTAGCCGGGTGTGGTTGCATACTCCTATAGTCTTAGCTACTCAGGAGACTGAAGCAGGGGAAGATCACTTGAGCCCAGGAGTTTGAGGTTACAGTGAGCTATGATCATGCCACTGCAGTCCAGCCTGGGTGACAGAGCAAGACCCTGACTCTCAAAATTAAAAATAAGACCAGCCTGAGCAAGAGCTAGACTCCATCTCTAAAAGTAATAATAATAATATGTACAATTTGATAAGTTTTGCCATGGAACCATTGCCACAATATACCCATCACCCCAAAAGTTTCCTCCTGATCCTTTGTAAACCCTATCTCCAGCTCCTCTGTCTCATCTTCCCAAGGCAACTTCTGGCCTGTTTCTGTAACTTTAGTTTGCATTTTCTGGAATTTTTATAAATAGAATCTTACAGTAAGTACTCTCTTTTTCTGGCTTCTTTCAGCAGTTAATTTGAGATTCATGTGTATTGCATGTATCAATAGTTCATTCCTTTTTATTACAGAGTAGTACTCCATTGTATGGGTGTAACCACAGTTTGTACAGTCACCTTTTGATGGACATTTGGGTTGTTTCCAGTTTGGGCTACTACAAATGAAGCTATTGTGTACATTTGTGTATGGTTCTTTGTATGGACTTATGCTTTATGTTGGGTAAATAGGAGGGAATGGCTGGGTCATCAGTATATGCTTAACTTTTAAAGAAGCTTCCAAATTGTTTTTCCAAAATGGCTGTACCATTTTATATTTCCATTGTCAGTATAGGAGAGTTCCAGTTATTCCTTATCCTTGCCAGTACTTGGTATGGTCAGTCTTTTTAATTTTAGGCATTCTAATAGGTGGGTAGCAGTGTCTCAATGTAGTTTTAATTTATATTTCCCTCTTAACTAATGATGGCAAGCATATTTTCATGTTTATTTGTCATGTGTATATCATTTTGGCAACATAGTGAAATCTTTTGCACCTTTAATAAATTGAGTTTGTTTTCTTCTTATTGAATTGTAGAAGTTCTTTATATATTCTTGATACAAATCCTTTATGGATTTGCAGATAGTTCCTGCGAGTCTGTGAGTTGAAGAGTTCTGAATTTTGATGAAGTTCAATATATCATTTTTTTGTGGATCACACTTTTGGTATTGTATCTAAGAAATTTTTGCCTCATGCTCTAGTTCTCAACTGAGTGTGATTTTGTACCTAAGGGGGCATTCAGCAATGTTTGGAGACATTTTTGGTTGTCACAGCTGTCATGCTACTGATATCTAGTGGTGAGTGACCAGAATGCTGGTAAACATCCTACAATGTACAGGATAAGCTCCCTACCAACAAGAAAGAATTAACCAGCCCAGAATGCCACTAGTGGCAAGGTTGAGATACCCTGGCCTAATACAAGATCACAAAGACTTTCTCCTGTTTTCGCTTAGAAATGTTATAGTTTTAGATTTTACATTTAGATCTATGATCCAGTTTCTAATTTTTTTTATCATACAAATTATGGATCAGAGTTCTTTCTTTTTTATATATGGATATCCAATGCATAGGGAACAGTATTCAGTCTTTTACCACCAAGTATGATACTAGCTGTAGGTTTTTCATAGATGCTGTTATCAGTTTGAGGAAATTCCCTTTTAATCCTAGTTTGCTTAGTTTTTGTTGTGTGTAGATGTTGGAGTTTGTCAAATGCTTTTTTTGTGTGTAGTGAGATGATCATATGGTTTTTCTGTTTTAGTCTGTTAATATGGTAAGTCATATTAATTCTTTTGAATGTTAGACCAACCTTAAATTCTTGGGATAAACCTATCTGAGACCTCTAGATTTCTTTTTTTA